TGCATGGCTGCCTAAGCTGAAGAAATAAAAACAAACAACACCCACTTCCACTGCAGAAAACCTGTAAATGGTGGATAAAGATAACATCTATTTTAAAAGGCATAGCTGAGTTTGCGTAAAAGAGAGATCTCCAAGAGCCAGAAATGAAATGAGAAAACCCATCCTCAGATGTGTGGGGGCACCTGGAGCAGCCCCTCTGGTAGAGGCGAGAGTGCTGGCTGGGGCTTGCGAACAGCGCAGACCCACAGGAGGCGGTGCTGCAGGTGGATGACGGGAGCTGATGTCTGCGCTGACGGCCGTGACCCTCGGAGTGCTCCCCCAATGAAGGAGGATTAGCACTAAACTTCACACAGTCAGATAGGGAAGCTTGTTTCTACCTGAACCCTGGGTGAAAAAACGATACATCTCTTGCAAGAAATTGAAATCTCGTTCTGGCCTTTAGGTGGAGTTTGTTGACTGAATTTATATTCCTTACTTTGTGATTTAATCCCAAACCAAGAAAGTAACATTAAATCTGGTCCTTGGTAGTGGTGCCTCATGCTCCCATACCTTTACCATCCAGCTTCAAGCCCAAACCTTCCCACCCGCTGTGATCAATGACGTAGGTTACAGAGAGCAGACAAGGACTAAGAAATGCCACCCAGAGAGCCATATTTTGTCTTTATCAGTTGGACTTCTTTTTCTTTTGATTTGTTTTCTGTCTTGTATGGAGAAGTGCAGTGATGGCTAAAGCATTTGCCACAGGCTTTAGGCTGAAATGGTCGATTTCTGCTTATCCTTTAAATATTTCCACACCATAGAAAGCACTCGATTTCAAATTGCCCTCCTGTGCTAGGTCTCCTATAGGACATGTGTAGGGACAGTCAGGGGTGTAAATTGGAGAAATGCTCAGAGCGGGAGAGTTAGGTTTACAGAGTGATCACCATCCGTAGTACAGACCTCCTCTTTCTTTCTCTCTTGATTCTCCCTTTCACAGCCAGTCATCTTCTCCCCTAGTCTCCTAAAAAGGTCCTCTCTGAAGTGTTCCCTACCCTGCCGTACCCATGTCCCGCCACTGGCTGACATTTTGGCCTATTTGCTATTCTGATCCCTTTTTCCATGCCCAGGATTGCCTCAGTTTCTCCACTGGTTGGACTAGATCTGCGAGACCAGGACTCCCCCACTCACAGGACAGCACAGGTCAAGGGCAAGTTGTGATCACTTGTCCCCTCTAGACATACTGGTCCTCTGACACACGATGAGACACAGAATAGCAACATTCATGGCGCTTACATTCGTTGATACTGTAAATGGTTTCATTAGCCCTTCAAAACACCTTGAAAACAGCAATTCCCATGCCTGGATTTCAGAATTTCAGAGTGATTTGGGATCCAGAGCTCCTTGATAGCATCAAATTCCTTGATTCTTTTTTACCTTTTAAATATTCTCAGGCTGGACATGTTATAGCCAGTGTTGCTTCTAGCATCCAACACTCGTGGGACACCTATAAATCCACATCCAGGAGAGGTGGCAGCCTATGACTCAGGGCTTTGCAGGTATGAGAGAAGCTCTCAATCCTGGGAAAAATTGAATTAAATATATTAATTTCCCAAATCCTAATACTTCATTCACTCTCTTGTCTTTGGAACTAGTCTTGCCTTTTTAGTGCTGCTGTTGTTCTACAGTCTTCTGGCTGTATTTTGAATGTTGATTTATTCCGTGTCTGGACATGTACCATCAGGATTTCCCCTGAATACGTTGTTTGGGCTTCGTGTTTTGTTCTATGTTTGTTCTGTTGTAGCTTAGAATCCTTTAGCACAGTTTCTCTGGTGTAATTGCATAGGATTGAGTAAATGGAGGACCTTGACATAGAAGCATGTCCATAGGGTCAGGAAGAGGACGGCTGAGCGGGTACCTTGTGACAGCAGAATCACAGATGTCCCCGTGACAGAGCAGGACATGGAACAGTGCCTCTTCTCACAGAAACCACCCAAAGGGCCAACATGGTCTTGAACGTTAACTCTGATCCATAACATGGCATTCAATACTTGCCTCCCTTTTGTTTTCCTTAGGTTATCTTCACAAATCAAAGTAAACAATATTAATAATGCAGCATTTCTGCAACTAGTATTTCTGCAGAGCAATAATAGGTTTAGTAAGCATGTTGCCAAAAAGAAGTGTTTGTGCTAAAATAAGCTTGACCAAAGCTAACTTTCACCAAAAATTTCCTTAATGCAGGGTTTCTTACCATGTTTATTGGTAATGTGGACTCTGATTGCTCTAGAAAATAGTACAACATGCGGTGTGTGCTGAACACATTCGATCTGGCCCCTTTCACTCTGAACCATCCGTTAACACCTCCATTAACTGGTGTCCTGAGGTTGAGGCATTGCAGAGCTATGCGCGAGTCTCACGAGGGACCACAGCCTGTAGCATCCTGTGCGTTTTGCTTGGTGTAGATTCGTTTGCCTCAGTCGTGAACCACCAAGAGCATAGCCTTGTACTAGGTACTAGGTAGAAGTTAGCTCCCAGACTTAAGGATGTGGTGATGTAAAGCAAGATTAACTTTGATTGTTATTGTTATCGTTTGAATTCAAATCTTAGCCTGCCACTGACTGCATGTGTCACTTATCATATCTGAGCCTCAGTTTCCTCATCTGTAGTATGGGAATAATAGTAGCATTTCAACCTTCAAGGCAGAGACCTGATCTGGCTTTTTTCTCTTACTTAGTGCTTAGTATATTCAATGTTTAGAATTTTTGCTAGATGAAAGAAATTATGAATGCATGCATGCAGGGGTCAGTGAAACTTGCGAGGAATTACAGAATCAAGTCCAATGTAAAGCTCTCCTTATCAGACCTAAAGAGAAATGAAAAACCATGAAGAGGTCCAGGTGGACTGGGTTTAATCAATGAAAACGTCTCAGAAGAGGTGCGTTGAGCCTGAGCCTGTGTTTATGCCATAACGTTTCACAAATGTTGTATGCTGCTACCGGCGGTGGTAGAGTTTACCAGTGTTGACTCTACTAAGAGGATGTAGGGTTTACACAGGGATGGATTGAAAGATGACATATTTACCCTCTTCTACCCGGAGTTTGTCCTGCTGCTGACCCTAAGTCACAGCACGTTGAGACGATACAGGGTGGCTCACGAAGCAGAAGCAGCCAGTCGGTAGAGTAGAACGCATGATTCCACCTGGGTGGTCTTCCGTCTGTGGCCCCATGGAGAATCAGATACTTTATTTACGTCCCATCAAGTGTTTATAATCTAGGCTTCCTCACTGTTTGAGATTACTCAGTTTGTCTTTGTGGAAGTATACTTTGTTTTTTTCTATAAGATACGGTTGTGAGCAGCAGAGGACTTTACGTAGACGAGTCAGCTATAGATGAGTAGAGATGTTTTTCAACTTTTGAAAGTACTTGGAGAGAGTTGGGAAATAGTATATACACTCACTGTCCAGTGTCTTAGTGCTACTTTCCTTAATACACTGGTGTTATATGGAACTTAGAAATTCAGGACAGTATTGATTATTGCTTGAAAGTGCACTTGTAAGAGATTTGTGATTTGAGATCAGGTGTTATTTTTTTTGTATCAATTTCTAGGATTGTGGAGGACAAAACTAATTTCTAGGGAATTGTATATGACTAATATTTCAACATTAATATAATTGGCATTTGATTGTAATAAGTTTCACCTATACTTTCTGGTTGTTATATTAGTACTGAGGTGTAATTTGAAAAGAAAAGTTTGGTGACGTGGAAGCCTTGGGTTGGTTATTTAGGAATTTGGTTTCCAGAACAAGTCGGTCTTGGTGTATGCTCCATGCCTGTTTCTAGAACTGGTTGATTCTCTTGTAATGCTCTCCATCCCGGTCCCCTTTCAGATTGTTTAGAAGCGTGTGAATATGCTTTAGGAAGTATGAAATACATACATATACGTTACTTTTACTATTTACATCATTCTCTGTATTAAAATTAAAAAAAGTAATGATTACCTGAAGAATGATATGTTTACACTAAAGTTACATGTACCTGTTTGTAGTAAAAAGACTAAGTTATGGTAGAGGAAAAATATAATTCCTTTTTTTGCCCTGTAAAGTAGGAGTATGCATCCCCATCTAAGAGAAGGGATAGCTCTTCATGGTCTGGAAATGTTGTACCGTGTCACATATAGTTGGAAAACGTCCCAGAGCAGTATATATATATATATATATATACATATATGTATATATATATATATATAAGTATTTGCCTCTGCTGGGATAACAGAGCGATAGGAAGAGGGACTCTACCTTTAAAAGTTTATGTAATAGGAGAAAAATACAATGTGAAGAATATATAATATGTACAAAGATAGATTAATTCAAATATTTCTTCAGGAAGAAACAAAACATTTCTTTCTACACAAATCAGAGACATAATAATAAGAAATGCTCTCATTTAATTGGTTTTAATAGTACCAAACAAAAGCAGAAGAGTTACATTTTAAGAAATCATCCTGTGGGCGAATGGCCATTTTGCTGTCATAAAAATCCTTTATTTAGCCCTCTCCACAGATAAGCTCACAGCGGGAGAAAGGACACTAGTTAGAGAATTTGGGGTAAGTCAACAGAAGGGATGGCTGGGAGCACAGTGTCATCTGGCAGAGAGCTTATTTCCTGAGTCCTGTGGATCTGGTTAAAACCCAGCAGAGATGCCAATATGCTTCTGCTCAGTGAGTGCTGCCCGTCTCCACACTCCAGGCCCACCGAGCCTGGTGTGTGGTGTCGGTCCTTTGCATAGCTGCATGGGGCCTGCCGTGACCTGAGTCAGTCATGCGGAGAGCCTTTCTTCTGCTCACACCAACGTTTTCCTTCCGTTTCCTCTGTCTGCTGCTCCTCACCCATGGTCGTGGCTGTGGTTGTTAAGTGAGATAAGCCGAGTGGTGGACGAGGCACTGGGCGCTCTTCTTAGATAAGATCTTGAGTTTGTTTAAAAACGAGGCTGAAAGTCCCGGGCTGGATTTCTTTACAAGGTCGCTGTCATGTGTGCACCTGGGATGCCTGTCTCTCCAGAAGGGTGGGAAGAAGTGAGGGCTGTTGATTCTGAAGAAGGAGCACTTGAGGCCCGACGAGCAGGTGCTGGTAAGAACGGACAGGGAGTTTGGGGCATGGGAATCCCACTTCATTGTGTTTTCCAGTGGACACAATTGTGTCTTTGGCACTCCCTCTGTCTCTGTGTGTGTCAGGTGTGATTTTGTTCCATTTTCTCAGCAGAGCCAAGTTTCCAGCTACCAACTTCATCTTCAGTCTTTTTATCTGAAAAGAGAAGATTAGATTTACAATGTAGTCTAAAGAGTGTAAGATGATTAATCAAATTTACGATTTATTTTCTTGTGCAGTAGCCAAGTCAAGAAAGATTTAAAGATTAGAATGTCCGTGTTCTCTGAAAACAAGGAGAAGCAGTGGCAAGTTGCTCAGTGCAGGAGGTTTGTTCACAGTGTATTCCATGCCTTGCTACCTTGTGTTCATACAAAGAATGAGAAATATGGCAGATGGGAGTCATCATTAGTGGAAAATCAGTCCCCAAGTAGAAGACTGTGTCTCTTTTTCAAATTAATGGATCCTGGATGCTTGTAGAAGAGCTGAGGCGTTTCAACAAACACAGGCCTTGACCTGGAGCACAGAGCCTCAAGGTCAAGTGGCTTCCAAGGAGCAAGCTCAGAATTGCAGCTGGTGTTGGGTTTCTGTGTCCTCTCCCGGGGAAGCCGGTCTGCTGGTCTTGGAAGTGGCTGTGGATCCACAGCTGAGGGGGTGCTGGGAGATATGCAACCCAGGGAGGGATGCATGTGGCTCAGAATGGACAGAGTGGTAGAAATGGTTTAAATAAGTAATATTGTTAATGTAAATTTCTGAACGGACAGATGAAAATAGAAGGGTCTTTTCTTCCTTCTGTGTGGACAGTGGCCTCGCTGACGGACAGTGGCTCCTGTGCTGGGATCTCGAGCATGCGGCCCCCAGCAGTGAGTGCCTGAAAGGGTATTTTACAATAAGGTCAGCGTTAGCCCCATCTAGCGTTGAGTCTTTGCGTGGTTCTCTAACTTTGAAAGCTGGGTGTACCATTTCAGAGACCTCGCTTGGTTCATTAAGTATCTTTTGTTAGAAATACAATTTGTTATCATGTGATAAATTTCCTCACATGGAGGCATTTTAGGAACTCAAGATAATTATTCCAATCAGTTCATGAGATGGAATGCAGAATAGCTACTAGATTACTAACATTCAAAACGATTTCATAATTCGAAATAAGCCCATTCGAGGTGATAAATGAGAAAAAAGAAAGAGGAGCAGAGACATATGTCAAAGAAATATCTCAAAACCCCAGCACCACGAGGACCACAGGCGGTGTACTGAGGTGTTTTAGTTCAGTTGGCTTAGCCTGTACAGGCCCATGAAGTCCATAGACTCTTCAATTTCAATCAGATAAAATTACGTGGTGCCAGTGTCAATGAGGGGCCACGAGTAAGTTGTTTGTTGAAGCTTCAACGTTCTCTCCGTCAGTTCTATGCAGGGTCCTTTCTGGACCCGCGATCTGCCTCCAGACCATGATCTGTGTAGGTCTTCCGCATGAAGGTGCCACAGAGAAAGGAACGTAACTTCAGCAGGCTCAGACGTCGGCTGGTAAACTGGTCTGGAGGAGCCTCCCTGGCTCCACGTACGGGCAGTGGAGGTGGATGATGAGGCCCTTCTGCGTCGCCCTAGTTTTCCACACCAAGTTGCACACTTGAACAAAATTGGCACGACTTTGAGAGAACCTAGCAGAGTAATCAGAGTTGCTCGTCCCTCCCGTGGCGCAGTGCCGAGCTCACGTGTGGGCTTTCAGGGCAGAGCAGGTTGAGTCCAGACCCCAGCTCCACTGCTTGTGACCGTGTGGCCCTGGGCCGGTTCATTAGCTGTGCTGAGCCTCGCCTCTAATCTGGGGAAGTAATAGTGATTTTGCCATCTGCGTGTGATAGATAAATGAATTAAATAAAATCAACACTCAGTACAATGTCAGATACATAACAATCATTCAATTCCTGTTCATTCCCTTTCTCTTTTCCCAGCACAATTTGGCCAAGTGTTGACTTCAGCCTGTTAAAAGCATACTTGCAAGTTTGGGGAAAAGAAAAAATAAAGATTCCAAATAGAGACTAAAAACATGTTTTTTCAAGAGGTGGAAACTGTTCAGTCAGTTTGTGTGAAGCAGATATTTTCAGTTGACCTGGCGGTGATGAGATGATCCATGGTTCAGTGTTCGTTTTTTCCTTATCAGATAATTAGTTTTGGCAAGTATATATAATTTAAGTAAACACAGTGCATTTAGTTTAAATAAATAAAGGACGGTTCTTAATTCTCCCTCTCTTATCATTTGATCGTTTCATTTTCTAGAACAAACTAGCAGCAGTCTGCTTCTGCTTTTCAGTAATATTCCCTGGTGGATTAGAGCCTTGCATCGCTGTTCGCTGTTGTTTCTGGAAACTGGATGATACACGTGACAAAAATGAAGTTGGGGGAGGACATAATTTCAAATCAACTAATTTTGTTGTTACGTTGCTGTTGTTCTGAGATACGTGATGTGGGGTGGGTAAAGTCAACGGAGTGCCCTAGTGAGAGGATAGTGATTCTATGTCTCAGTGAGTGAGATCTGTTAGACCAGGAACTGTGACTCTGCATCATCAAACACCTGCACCTTTTAGAATCTTGGAAATATGAGCCCCCAGAGCTACCTGGCAGAGCCTCTCTGGGATGTCCTTTTGCCCCCCGAGATGAGCCACGTTAGCACTGGGCTGGCTGTGCGGGAGAAGCACTTGTGCGTGTCCCGACATCGCTCCTGGTTTCTGCGTCCTGACGCCAGCTGTTGTCACTGGGCTGAGTGAGAGCTCTCAGGTGGGGAAGCTGCAGAGGGAATGATCTGCTGCACGGGGCTTGGCAGGACCATGGCCAGTGATTGATAATGGGAGCAGATCATTTCAGGTGAGTGTTCTCTGGTCCAGGAGCCATCAGGGGTCTGCTGGACTTTGTCATCTGAGTGCAGCGTCACTGGGGGTAAAGGGGGAGCTCTCAAGCATCTGCCTGAGTCTTCTCCCCTGTGCCAGATCTAAGGAACCACGGCGTTCCTGGCTCTGCCTACAGGAAGGTAGCGTCGTCTCTGCATTGTTTCAGGAAATGGTTAATTATGGCCCTCCCGGAGCTGTGGTGTCTGCCCCTGTGGGGACCTATTTGGTACAGCACAGAGCACTGTAGATCAATGCGGTAATCAATGAGGATCTGTGCACTGCAGACCTCTGCTCTGGTGACAGCAGCACTCGTGGCCTTGCTCAGTGTCACTGTTGTGTAATGTTGGACACTGCAGGCTTGGTTTGACTTTCATTTAGATTGCAAGGACCACAGGAAATTTTACTTAAAATTTCTTTTGCATTTGGGTGGATTTCTTATTGTGTTGTGGATTTGATGCACTGCTAGCTGGAATTTAGTGATCTGAGGCCAGGAACATTTATTTAACCACTCGATGCTGCTGTAATGTTTGCTGGGCTTCTGCAGTTTCTGCTACTTCATCTGTTGCCCTCAGGAACAGGTAAACTAAGTGTAATATGAATCTTATGCATAAATGTAAAATTACTGTACTATATGGCTTACTTATCCGTAAGTAAGATATTAAAATGTGTCATTTAGATTCTGTCGGGAGAAAATAAGGAATATTTTGCTTTGAACATGGAAATTGAGCAAATATATTATCATTTTAGAATACAATGGCAATCATCTAGTTGCATTGTATGAAGTTATTTTCATGGGTTAAGCGGATATCTGAAGTGTACATTAAATTGTCTACAATTTAGTATTTAACTCTCAACTTGATATAGGTATAATACACAGTTAATTCAGAAAGTATATATTTTCCTTTTCTGATTGGCCAAAGACAGTTTTCCCTGTTTACTGAATTTCACTAAAATTAGAAAGCTTCAAAGCTTGATCTTCTTAAAAATAGAAAGATATCAGTTTATATTGTTATTTTGAAGTGTTTGGACAAAGGCTGCCCAGGACTGCTTTCTCCTGACCGACAGTCTGGGTTTTAGAGCCCCTTGTGGAAATGCCTGTCTTGTGTGACATTGGGCTGTGTGCTGAAGGGGAGACTGTTGAGATGAAGAGAGCAGAGAGCATGGGCAGGAGGACAGAGAGGGAAGTGCAGTCCTCTAGCTCCAAGATTCGGGTGTGTAACCTTGGACGACAGAGTAACCGACCCCTCTGTGCCTTGTTTCCATTCTGCCAGCTGGAAAAAAGACTCTCCTGTGATTCTCAGTGGGCATGGCAGAGCATTTTTCAGGTGCTCAAGATCTTCTGATGATGATTTCTGTGTAGAAAGTGACACTACTATTGAACTTTTACAGGTGTACAATTTTCTTAATAAAGGGGGGATATAGGGCTCTTCTAATGTTTTTCTCTCCTTTGCAGTGTTTTAGCAGCTAGGGCTTTTGTGGAAGGGAGATTATGGCTCTTTTAAATTAAGCTGATAAATCTCTTGGCTCTGTTGTAACCACTTTGTCACAAGGCGTTGAGCAAGCCTGAGGCAGCCTGGGGGCACCTGCTGTCAGGCCCTTGTCCTGGGGAGGGAGGAGCATCGCGCTGTGCTGCAGGATAGGGTCCTGGCTGCAGAGGCGCAGGGCTCTCTGGAAGCCATGACTCTCCTCCTGCTCCTCGCTCCCTCTCAGGTGCAGTACTCCTGCCTGCCGTCTCAGCAGTGACTTTCAAGAGGTCCACTTTCTGCTGTGGGTGGGCGTAAAACCCAGAGGCCCAGAGGCAGCTGGAAAGAGCAGCCAGCCACCTCCCACTGGCAAGAGTGGATCAGGTTGCTGCCTGTCAGATGCTGGTTAACATCCATGCGTTAGACTAACTAAATATGTTCTTTCAGGAGAAGTGAAAGATTTTACTATAAACTGAGCCATGTGGTTGCAGAGTGGCTAATAATTGCTAGTTGATGAAGGTCATGAATCTTGTGTTCTTGGTCATCCTTTCTGGGCCCTCTTAGTGACAGACGCCCACCGTTATGAGAGGAAGGCTGAGGCGGGGACGGTCCATGCTCCCACATGTGTGCACAGGAGAGACGA